CAATATTTTGAGTTGTCTTTTAGGAAGTCTAGCTGATGATTTTTTTTACAATTTAACCATTTTATATGGAATGCAAGCTCTTAAGTTCAGTTTTCAATGGGTTTTTTTTGTCTATAAAGGACAGTTATCTATGTATTTCTAACGGACCCGATTGGTCTATAAAGGACAGTATATAAATATGACATTCATTAGCAGGTGACAGTGAATATTGTCAACCCGAGAAAACCATTGTCCCCCGAGGCGAAGCCTGCTAATGTCATATTTATTTTGTTTTGGCTTTCAGTAGACCATTGAGAATATTGTTAGACATACGTAAACGAGGGATAATAATTTCTTTACACAGTGGAGTCCCTGCAGGTAGGGCTTAATAATTGTACCTGCTGCCCCCATTGCATGACTGTAAGAGGCGATTAAATTTTGGATCTTATCTTTTCTCTTCTTTCTAAACAACTTTCTTCTTCCAAATGTTTCCCTTGACGATGCCTCATTTTTGGCATTTAGTTGAGCGTTCGCCCCTGTGAGGAAGGCTTTGGGTTCTGTCCCCTGGCAGAGTCTGTAAAAATGGTACTTTCCACTCCTGCTTAACGCTCAGCAATTTAGGAGTGAGACGACTGGTTTGCCCGTTGTCAGTATAATGTGACCGGGTGGGGTGTCCTGCTGAGTGTCTTTGGCAGTATGTTTCAGTGAGGTAGCACTATAAAGTCGGCATCAGTCCCGCACCAACACAAGGAGACAAACACGAACATATCGGCCTCCCAAAACACACACTACTTGCATGCATCTTGCACACAGAGTAGGCCGTCCTTAACCGTTTCACCAATGTAGAACATAATGGACTCATCCAGATCAATGCATGGGAGAGTCTACTTAAGTTGCATAGGGATGAAAAGGTTAAATGACCATAGCTGTTGATAGGACGTTAAACAATACTTAACTAAACCAAACCAAATCATACAGTGGACTGTAAACGACACCATTGGAACAATATTATCTGGATTGTAGAGACTGCTTAACTAATTCACCCATGAAAACACATTTTAACTCTTCCAATTCAAAGGTTGGAATAGTTCATTATGATAGTTCAGGGGTGAAAGAGTTAAACATCATTTCTTTGTGAAATGACAACTAACAATATATATGTGAACATGTGAATATGTGAAAACTATATTTTGTTATGGATACAAAGTCCTTGTACTCCTGTTCATTTATCAACAATACTGTAATAATTCAGCGAGATCACCTGCACTTATGAAAAGAAAAGACGATATTCCTAGGATAATTCATGTAGAAATGGCTCGACAACATCCGACGGAAGGTTAATCAGTAATATTTATTATAGTTTACATTGTTCTGCACACTAGGTATGCCCTCTTCAGAACAGTATTGTCATTACTTTTGGTGCTGGACTCGTGTTTTTCATTAGGAATCCATCTACAGAAAACCACCGGAATATTTAGAAGATTAGGATACGAATGTTGGATGTCTTTTGCCTAGTATTCCAAGGATCAATTAAATTATCATTTCCTTCATTACTGACAGGAGTAGAACTGACACAACAAACACATGTCACTATAGGACAAAGATAAATTATCTTACACAATGTCTTATTATAACTGTAGTACTAGTAGGAGCAGGGAAATCCACGGCCAGACTAGGGTTTGAACACGGACCCTCCGAACTCTAGACGGATCTTCTACCAATTGAGCTACCTGGTTGCCGACGATTTACAACCAAGGTTTGGGCATCCCCTTGCCAAGCATACAACAAAAGCTTGAAACAAAGGTTGGTCACAGGTACCACTGTAACAGGAGAAAGAGAAATCCACTACCAGAAAGGGGTTCAAACCCAGAACTTTTAACGGACGCTCTACCAATTGAGCTACCTGGTGCTAGTCCAAAATATTCTGATGTTTTATCGGTATATCGGTCAATCAACAACAGACCGATATGAAACAAGAGGCCCATAGGGCCTGTATCGCTCACCTTGATATCTAAGCAATCATGGCAGAATATTCTCCAAATGAGATCCAAGGGAATATGCCAGACCCCAAGGCCAATCCTTGTAGCATATATATCTGTATTCAATTTTTCATGCCCAGCAATTTTATGTATGGTTATGGGGTGGGGATCTCAACTGTTTCCAAGCTGTGACGCAGAAACTAGGTCCCTACGGTTGTGGCCAGACCCCAGGATCAATTCTAATATCATGACTGCATTTGTCTCTTTTT